CGTCTATGTATATGTATGTAATTTTTTTAAGGTATAAATGTATGTATTTCTATATGTATGTTATATATATATGTCTATGTTTATGTATGTAAATTTTTCTAAGGATGAATGTATGTATCTATATATACGTGAGATGCTTTGATATGGTTTGCATGCATCTTTCTGCGCAGTTTGGGAAGATGCCTTTTTTTGTGTGTGTAAACCACCATGCCGCCTTGCCGCGATGCTAGCTTGGAGGTACGTCATGGCTCATTATTTGGATATGTTTCCCGCGTTTGTATTGATTACATGTCTTGTCTTGAGTTGTGATACGACACTCGAGTAAATTCTGTGGCATATAGACTCAATCGAGATGACAGGATTATCTGTTCAAAATGTTGTAGGTATCCTACTTTACTTGGATTCAAGAGTTTTCCACTTCTTATCTTCTTTGTTATTCCTTTCTTTCATGATAGTTGCGATGATTCAGATATAGACGTACTCTGTCAGTACGTTGTGGCTCTGCTCAAGAACGATGCACCATGGGCTGATATCGAGGAGGCATGCAAAAGCCAGCTGCACGCGTTTCTAGAGGGACGTACGTATCTAGTATCCGGATTATACTCGCTTATAGTATATACGTATATATAAAAGTATTATCCTCAGAAGTGAGCATTGCTGCTGCTTGTGCTTGATATGCTTAGATATATGTGCATTTGGGTAACGATGTTTGAGTGCTTTCATGTACTTTATAATGTACTGCTATTTGTGAAGCATATTGGTCGATCGTGCAGTGTATATTCAATTATTTTTCTTTCCTGATGTGTGTGTAATGAAATGTTGATTCGTCGTGGCCGTATGTTTGCGTAATATATATGTCTAGGTTGACACAACCGAACTTCTTTATATAGGTATATATATATTATTATATTATTATTATATTATTTTGTATATATTACGTATGTATGTATGTATATATATATATATATTTATGTATATGTATACATATATATATATATATGTATGTATATATGTAAACATATATTTATATATAATTTTGACGCAGCGCACACGCACGTGCCAGAACTTTGCACGCGAGCACACGGACGGGTTATGCGCACAAAAGCAACACGTACGCACACGGAAAATATAAATCTGCACATCGACTACACGTATATTCGTATTGAAGCACACATGATCCCACAAATCCCTAACCATGCTCTTGGTATATTGATCTGCTATGCTGTAGAAACGGACGCGTTCGTCGGTGATATGTTCCGCCACCTGAGGGAACTTGAGAAGTCTATGCCCGCACATACAGCTGCTCAGTCCAGCGAGCCAGTGGGTACGTTCTATATATAGCACATATGTTGTGTTCGATAAATAGCACATATGTTTTGTCTTCTATAAATAGAACACATGTTTTGTGTTCTATAAATAGTACAATGGCTTGCTTGTATACATTTGCAACAGACATATGCGTCCTCTGCAGCACGGCAAAATGAAGGTTCTCAGATGCTACATACTCCACAGCGTGTGCCGGTTTTACTTTGTAGCACTGTCATTCGCGACTGTCTCATATTGATTTGAAACAGGTCGCTTATCAACGGCAGGTCGTAAACGCAAACCGTCGGTGATGGACACGTGCGATGAGCGGCTGTACAAACCAAATAGCAGATCAGGCGATGAGGAAATTAAACGACGACGCTATGACGACAGGCCGCGTAGGGGGTATGCGTACATATAGTCACTCAACTATATACTAAATATATTCACTTTAGTATACACTAGTTATATTCGAGGTGTTTATATATTATTGTTTATATATATGACTCATATTGAGATGTGTTGGGTGTGTTTGATTCGATTGTTAAATGTGATGAGGATACATGTGTTTATGTCTGTTTTGTATTTGTACGCAGGGCAGCCTTGTTATGATATATATATATATATGACTGTGTGCCTATGTGCAGAGTAATCAAGTGTACCTATGTCAAATTGTATTTCTGGAGAAAAGTAAATGGGGTTTGAGTGTGATGTCTGTGATTCTACTTCTTGCGTCTATCAGTTGAAATTGTATGGAGCCAGAAGTATAGTTGTAAAACATTCCAACAGCACTTATTGCTGAGTCAACTCCAAGGAACTGAGTATCCTCCTAGCTGTGTCAAGGTGTGTGCGATCTCCATTAACCTACCATTTCAACAAAAAAATGCGGAAGTACCTTGAGCTTCCGATATGCCAAACGCCTCGAACGGGACTGTCGCGATAACACCTTACCTTTCTCCTCTATCGCTCATGCTTTGTGGTAATTGATTGTACCACTCAGCGTTCTAGCAATTGCAATAACACCTTAATTTTCCCCTCTATCACTCATGGTTTGTAGTAATTGATTGTACCTCTCAGTTGTTCTAGCAATAGCAATAGCACATGGAGGTGAGGTGTACCATCGGCATGTTTTGCCGCAAGGAAAGACCGACCACACGAGCAGTGAGAAAGTTTGGATGTACTCTCTTGTCATACCAAATGCCACACCCTTGTCTTGCCTTTGGAAATTACAACCGGCTCCTTTGTACTTATCACTGTATGTACCAATCCCCTAAATACCTTGGCACTCGTGTGCAGGAGTGAACCTGACGATCGATACGACACTCGCCACGGCTTCCCCCATCACAACAACAAAGACAGCCATAGCCACCCCTATCCCAGCAGCAACAGCCTAGGCCACGGCCACAGCAACAACCCCAACAACGCCACCTCAAGCAACAACAGTAGGGAGCGTCGCGATAGTATACGACAGAACAACCGACCACCGCCGCCTATGCATGGCATGCCGGGCAGAGGCCACTACGACCCGTATGATTACGGCAGAGGGGGTGACATGGGTCCACCTGGAGTGGGTACGTGGGTGACTTTGGATATGTTCATGCACATATCCATGGATACACTTATACACACATATATATGTGTGTGTGTGTGTGTGCAACATCTAGCATCCATGTTTTCAAATATATATATATTTATATATTCATTATATGGTCTGGCCGATGATTGGAATGACAGGTACATGTTCCTGCGATTTTTATGCATTCGATCGATACTGTGTTGTGGGTCTTTTCTATGTGGGTCTGTGTTGTATATTTAGAAACATCTCTCTAAAATTTACATTTGTTCTTTGATTGCGTCACGCTGCATTCATTCGCAACTCCACTCTGTTGCGTTCAGTTATATACATCTCATACACACTCGAAACTATCGATTTCCCGTTTACAGCCATTAATGTCGCTCACATCAACTAAACTTAGGTTTTAGGGTTTAGAATTTTAACAGACAACTACAAATATGTCTTACGTTCAGATATGCGTCCGCCTCAGAGGCGAAAGGAAAGGTGCAGAGACTTTGAAGAGAAGGGTGTGTGCATGAGAGGCGACGACTGCATATACGATCACGGAGCACACCCGGTTATAGTGGAGCAAGTACAGGTATGCTGGTGTTCTTATCTCTGTGTAGTACTTCTGTTTAACGTGTTGTAGTAAATCGTCTGCTCGCATCTATGGCTGGAAGATCGACTCTGCATCAGACTGTTCAAATAAGGGCACTTTGTGGAGAGTTTAAGCTTGTACGGTAAGAGTTTCAGAGTCTTTTGTTGTGGGGGGATTCGCACGGGGCATTATACGATGTTGTTATGGTGTCAATATTTTTGGTATCTTGTTCCCCAAGTGGCTCTCGAGCAGATCGCATAGCAACGACTTGCAGTCTTCAATTGCCGTTTTTTTATCATATATGCTTTAGACTATACCCGTTTTGGGGCGTGATCTGGCTCCCCAAGTACAAGAACCGGTGATTGCAGCCCACTACGTGTATATGATTGTGCTGGCAATGGAATACAGACTTACAATCTAGTACTGCGTACCAATACTATACATAACCCAACTCTTTCTTAACTTGTTCAGGGATATAACCCAGCTCCATTAGACCAAGACGAGTATGATCCTAGCAATCCACGAATATTCGAGGGATCCAGTAGTAGGGTGAGGACATATAGCAGCATGAGCCGAGAGCGGAGTGCCAGCTCATACGGTCCCGATTTTAAAGCGGGATACTCTCCAGAGCGGAATATGGGCCCACATTATGGGGGTATGGATGGGCCAAATAGTACGGGGCAAGGTAGGTATGGTAACTGGTGCAATACGCTCAAGGCCGGTATGCAGACATTGATGACCTTGGTGTGTATGTAGTGGGTGCGATTACCCAGTATGTCTCTTGTGAATGTTTACTGTACCATTGACCTAGAGTCATGTGGCAGTCTCCGTCTTGCAGCTACATGTATTAGTAAATCCGTTTTAACCTCAATTCTTATGAATATATTACGTTAGACTTTGTACTCGTAGAACACGCGCATGTATATATGTAAATGTAAATATATGTATGTATATATATATATGTGTCTGTGTGTGTATGTATGTATATGCATATTATATACATATACATATATACTGTCTCACCTTTAGCATTATGTCGAGCTAATTATACTCCTCCACCTTCTATCAATAGACTCTGGTCCCGGTCCTAGATATGAGGGCAGAGGTGCAGGGCCCAGGGGGGGGAGGGGCCGAGGCAGGGGACGTGGCCGGGGGGGTAGACCCGATTGTCACATCCCGAATGCACCTGTGGTGTCTGATAAGTCGCTGTTGGTAGTAAACCTGCGTGCGGATCAGAACAATGTGGCTGCACTGACTGAGTACTTCAAACAATTTGGTACGGTGCAGAGTATCAACGCACTCCACAACAATGAGAAGAGTAGTGCACACGTGACATTTGCGGATGCCGAGATGGCGAAGAAGGCCTATGGACAACAGTCGAATGTCATGGGTGGAGATGTGGTCAAGCTGTTCTATGCGCCCATAGAGAGTATGTATATATATTATTTATGTATATATATATGTATAATCTGTTTGTGTGTGTGCATGTACATTTCTAATTGTTTATATGTATGTGTCTGTGCTCGTGTGTGTGTAGGTCAATGATGTACTTGTCAGAGTATATGTATTTGCAAGTATATTGAACATGATATCCGCCTTGCTTATAGTGCTTAATTGTTCGCCGCTTTCTTGTGAATAGACATGACTTTCATATTTATGGATGGATTGGATGGATTGTGTGTCTATTTCGATACCTTCTTGTGTGACTACCAGTTTATCGTACATTCAAGTTTTGTGATTCGCCATCGTTGAAATTGCACGAGCAGGCCTCTATATACATTATTTAACCATCAAGTCAATACACTTATACAAACTGACAATGGAATCCTCGTTGAATTTCCTTCTCGCAAGGTCACCATGGCCGAAGGGATGGTTACCATGGCAACGGTGGATCTAAACCCACCGACTGCCCAAATAAAAAAGATTCGGAGGGCGGTGAACCGAAGATACCGGTGAAAGAATATACAGAGGCGCAAAAGAAGGTGCTGGCGGAGTACAAGGCACGGTTAGAGGTTGAGCAGGCCAAAGAACAGGCGCTGTTGGCCATTGAGAAGAAGGTGTGGGGCAAATGTCGATATATTTATGTGTATACAAGGATAGTTATATATATATATAGGTATAGGTATAAGTATATGTAGGAATGGAGTGTGTTAAGGGTTTTGGTTGAGCAGGCCAAAGAACAGGCGCTGTTTGCCATTGAGAAGAAGGTGTGGGGCAAATATCGATATATTTATATGCGTATAACGATAGATATATATACATGGTTATATGTATAGGTATATACACATCTGTTCACATACATGTACACATCTGTTCCACTTATATGTACACATCTGTTCATATACATGTACATATCTGTTCACTTATATGTACACACCTGTTCATACACATGTACACATCTGTTCACATACATGTACACATCTATTCACATACATGGACACATCTGTTCACATACATGTACACATTTATTCACATACATGTACACATCTGTTTACATACATGTACACATCTGTTCACATACATGTACACATCTATTCACATACATGTACACATCTATTCACATACATGTACACATCTGTTCACATACTTGTACACATCTGTTCACATACTTGTACACATCTATTCGCATACATGTACACATCTGTTCACATACTTGTACACATCTTTTCGTCATACATGTGCACATCTATTCACATACATGTACATACCTGTTCATATACTTGTACACATCTGTTCACATACATGTACACATCTATTCACATACATGTACACATCTGTTTACATACATGTACACACCTATTCACATACATGTACACATCTGTTTATATACATGTACACATCTGTTCACATACATGTACACATCTATTCACATACATGTACACATCTATTCACATACTTGTACACATCTATTCGCATACATGTACACATCTGTTCACATACTTGTACACATCTATTCGCATACATGTACACATCCATTCACATACATGTACGTATCTGTTCGCATACATGTACGCATCTGTTCGCATACATGAGACATATCACGCAATCATCTTTGTAGGCCACCCCCAATGCAAGCTGCCTGATCCTTTCCCTTGTATTCCACCCGATTTATTTCTTTCTTTTCAGAGAAAAGAGAACAAAGAAACGCGACTGCGGCAAATGCGTGATGTGCAAAAGGCCAAAGCCGATCTGATGAAAGCGCAGATTGAGCAGCAGAAGAAGCTTATTGCCAAACTTAGTGAGAAGGTATGGTTTCATGAATATTAAAGTTGTGAACGAATGTATGTACACACATTCACATGGATTTATCGATGTGTGAATGGTGGGAATTCGTACTTTACACTTGTATATGGAGATGCGTAAGACTATTCGCTATGATTGTTTCTTCCCTGGGCAGACTCAGTCACGTACAGTTAGTGTATTGGCTTGGAAACAAGTTATCCAAGGAGTTGTATGTTTGAATAGATATTTATATCTATATATATATATATATATATAGTGTATGTATGTATATGTATATGTATATTCTCCCCCGGCACGTGCCCTTATAGTGAATATCTTGATTTCTACCTCTCCATCATCCACCGAACCAATACGATAGATGACTAAACAAAACTCACCTAATCAACACAACAGGGACTCAAAAAGGAGAAGAGGGTAGAGCTCATGGGTACGTTGAGAAGGCTCTCGCAAGCCGTTGAGCTGTCGAAGAAGTTTGTGACAACGTATCCGTCAGCTGCTAAGCCTAAACCAATACACAAAGAGGAGGACAAGGTGAGTTGTGTGTATGTTGGATACGAATATGCATTTGTACATATATTTACATATGCATGAACATGATAATTTACATTATGTGTATGTGTGTGTATTATATATACTAGTGCATTTGTTTATGAGACGATGGAAGTGTGTTGTACCTGGATATCAATGTATATGTATATATATATATATATATATCATTACCTATGCCTTTACATTCACTTTACATTCATTTTTACCTTTACCTTTACCTTTACCTTTACCTTTACCTTCACCTTCACCTTTACCTTTACCCTTATGAAAAGAGAGAATAAATATATCAATTATTCGCCTACCCCACAGCGTGCTGCGTTAGACAAAGAATTGGACATGATGGTCAGTAAGGAGAGTCCAAGCGAAACTCCTACCCATAGCACTGGCACGGAAGATTTGGAGTCAAGACTTGCCGCCATGAAGCAAGAGGTGTATTCGGATTGGTCAGCAGTGTCCTTTTTTTTAATCTTCGAGCCAATGAGATGTTCGTATATGTTTATCGCTTGTATGTGAGTCGTATAGCTGTTCAATATGCTGTGTTGGGCAAGCTTTACTGCTGATTGTATTACATAGCACACATCCGTAGTGGGGGCCAGTTGCAGGTTTGTGACACATTCAGGGGTATCGCTATCTATCAGAAAGGATATTCGCACATATCCATGCCAAACTGCATCTTGGTGTGCTCTGCGAAACGTCAGTGGGAATGTGAATCCAGGCTTGTGTGGCCATGTTTCATGATGTTAATCCAGGCTTGTGTGGTCATGTTTCATAATGTTAATCCAGGTTTGTGTGATTATGTTTCATAATGTTAACCTAGGCTTGTGTGGTTATGTTTCACTATGTTAATCCTGGCTTGTGTGGTTATGTTTCATTATGATGTTAATCTTGGCTTGTGTGGTTATGTTTCATAATGTTAATCCATTCTTGTGTGGTCATGTTTCATAATGTTAATCCTGGCTTGTGCGGTTATGTTTCATAATGTTAATCCAGGCTTGTGTGGTTATGTTTCATAATGTTAATTCAGGCTTGTGTGGTTATGTTAATCCATTCTTGTGTGATTATTTTTCATGATGTTAATCCAGGCTTGTGTGGTTATGTTTCATAATGTTAATTCAGGCTTGTGTGGTTATGTTAATCCATTCTTGTGTGATTATTTTTCATGATGTTAATCCAGGCTTGTGTGGTTATGTTTCATAATATTAATCCAGGCTTGTGTGGTTATGTTTCATATTGTTAATCCAGGCTCTACGTATCAAACATACAACTCTGACACAGCATCCTGCAACATATCCCGTTCGTACACGTGGGGGTGTGTCACTGCCTCTTGACATATGCCATCGGCACATTTGTATGTGTATGTGTATAACACTTGTGATTAAAGCACCGTGCAAACGAGTATCGTCTGCAACATAGTATTTCTTAGTACTTGTAGTATTCGGTCGAGGGTGGCCTAGTCGCTGCGAAGACACGACGCACTTTGATATGTGTGTTGGCCTACCGTGTCTGCCGCAGCATACACTTGTGCATCAACAATTTCAGTAATTTAATTATATATTCAGAAATATATATATATATATATATAATTGTTTATAGCTCCATAGTAACCTGGTTATGCATTCTCCTTCTCTCAGGCGGTACAGATGGGGCTTCTGAGTCGTACAACCTCCACTACAAATGCCATAGATGCAACCACAAATGCCACAGATAGAATGACAAATGCCACAGATACCACCGCGAACAATGGAGATGATATTGCTATTGACGACGATGGTCAAGATGCAGATGAACGCGAAGATAATCGAGCACGCTCATGGCGTAAACGATAGATACTATCATACTAGATACAAGCATTGCGAGCCTCTGAGGTACTCACTAATGGAGTAGATGAGTACTCGTGGCAAGTTTTGGGAGGGAGACGTAGTACGGAGTCAGGGAGTAGATGGGGAATGTGGAGTGCCCAAAAGAGTAGGTAGGAGTAAATGCGGTACCACAAGCACTGTAGGTAGCAGACAGTCATTGCGATCTACTACTAAGGCTATAGCTGAGAGCACTCATGCGTGCTACGTACAGCAATACACACTGATGAACGCGTACACATAGGATAATTGAGCGGTTAATATCACTGGCATACGCGCATAGCACTTATAGCATACTTACATTCACGTATATGCATGCACTTACACATACGCATGCTCGGACATCCTTAAGCACACCTATCTGAAGATGGAGTAGGCATACTATTGGACGCTGTCGATCTGAGCGAAAGTCACCGCCTACACACGTACATAGAGCTAGTCATCACACATCTTCACATGAACCATTCTTTGCAAACAAGACACGCACGCATAGATACTCATGGACTAGTCCGCCTGCATACTTGCTATATATACTATATACATATATATATATATATATATATCAAGTATGGAGCACATTGAGTGAAAACGAAGACCGCCGTCGTTTCATTGCAAGATGCAATCGATTTCAATACACGACATCGGAAGACCGAGCCTTTATAGTAGCGGAGCGCTTTTTGGCATGCTATACTTAGTGGATCGCATATGGAGTCGTGATAAGATGCAAACGCCGAACAGTGCAATAAACAGGGTGGCCACAAACAAAAAAATGAAGAAAAATGAAAAGATGACAAATGTAGCCATACAAGTATTGTATTTATTGCACTTAAATCAATCTCGGCACTTAAGTTTTCTCTGTTGCCAGCGAGTATCAATGTATCCATTACACTTACATCAATCTCAGCACTTGAGTTGTCCCTGTTGCTAGCGAGTATTAATGTATCCATTGCACTTAAATCAATCTCAGCACTTGAGTTGTCCCTGTTGCTAACAAGTATTGTGTTTATTGCAATTAAATCTACCTCAGCACTTGAGTTGTCCCTGTTGCTAATAAGCTCTATATCCAATGTGCTTAGGCAACCTCGATACTTGAGCTGTCCCTGTTGCTAGAAAGTTCCCCATTACATTATACTTGAGCAACCTTAGCACTTTAGTTGTCCCTGTTGCTAATAAGTTCCCTATCTATTATACTTAAGCAACCTCAACCCTTGACGTTGTCCCTGTTGCCAAGACTAATTCCCTATCCATCATACTTGAGCAATTTTAGCACTTTAGTTGTCACTGTTGCTGATAAGTTCCCTATCCATTATACTTAAGCAACTTCAGCACTTGAGGTGTCCTTGTTGCTGATAGGTCCTCTATCCATTATACTTAAGCAGCCTGAACACTTGAGTTGTCCCTGTTCTTAATAATTATTGAATCCATTGCGCTTAAGCAAACTCAGCACTTGAATTGTCCCTGTTGCTAATAGGTCTCTATTCCATTATACTTGAGCAACCGTAGCACTTTAGTTGTCCATGTTGCTTAACTCCCTTATCCATTGCGTTTGGACCGCAGAGCTTTCTGGCAGATCGCAGAGACTCTTGATCCGAGAGTGGCCACGCGTATTGGAATGCTACCTACCAAGGCACTGAAAAGGAATAAAACAATACTGGAAAAGTTCATGTTGGATGGTTGATTCTTTAGTTTTTGGTGCAATGTGTGATGTGGGAAGGAGAGTAGTGTTTACATGAGACTCGTCTTTCCCAGCGCCATTGCGAGTGGTAGATTTGCCGGGCAGTACATGATGCTGACATCTTTTCTGTGAGTCCTTGAAATCGAGCATGTAGGGTATAATAAACAAATTGTTGCAAATGAATCTGCTGAATCTGCCGAGTATAGTTATTGCACTTGGAAACAATACAAGGGTACACCAAATATATAATATCATATAACATCTAAATAGTATCACGGTGTTACCGATTAAGTATCAATAGTAGCATAAACTTTGATCGCAGACTTTTGAACCATGTATAATTTCACCCTCGCTTCGGCACTGACTACGTATGTGAAAACGTTCAATTCCACTCCACGTAGTCTGTAGCTCTAAAGTGCAGCTATGTGAACCCACATTGTACACGCATTGTTTTTCGTTTGTGTGTCGGTAATTTATATTCCACAATTAAAGGCATTGATAGGGCGTCCATCGTTTCAAATATATTTTTAATTATAATTAACACATGGTACAATACAACAAGACTTTGCAATCGTCGAATTCTGTTTATCATATGCGATATGAGACTCTACGACAGGTGAGTTATATACATTTGAGAGATATCACCTCCGAGGGCCGGGGAATTGAGAAACTGATTCCAATAGCAAGTTGCCCAAGCGCTGAGTCTATGCTGCATGATATACACGGTCACACCGGACAGTATGGGATAACTAAAGCACCGAGGTGAGTAGAGGACTACTGAAAGTTGAAGGACTTCGAGTTCTTTTATACATGGATATCTATAATGAATAGGGTCTGAACGCAATGTACAAATCTGGTTTCAAGTCATTCTTGATTCAAAAGTGAGATTAGAGGTCTTTGTTTATTTATTTTGAAGTACCTTGGCAGTAAATATAAATACAAGGCGCGAGCTGATACATGTTGTTTGTATATTGAACTGTATATTGAGTATTCTATGTATACACGCATGTATTTATGTATGTATGTATGTATGTATACATGCATGTATGTATGTATGTATGTATGTATGTATGTATGTATGTATGTAT